TTAAAGTTAAACGATATCATATTATTGTAATCGACGCTAAGCATTTTGCTACCCTATACCCTATGTATAGTACGAGATTATGCTGGTATATTATAATACACAATTAATAGTATATTATGTTTTTTTAATACTTTTTCATTTATTGTAGTAGCTTTATATTTATCATCTTCAAAATATAAACATAATGTGTAATACTCGATATCGCTCGAAATAACTTTAAAAAAATTAAAAAAGAACTCAATGTCATATTGTTAAGTTGGTAAATTGATGTTGTAATAAATAATTATACACTACCAATTAAATGTGTTCCTATATATTCTACTAACTATATGTGGCAAATTGTCAATTTATTGACATTCATCTCGACTTCCGTATGCTAGATCAGTCTTTACTCTTTAATATTTTGTCTTTAGTCTATAACTCATAGTTTTTTACAATAATATGTTACCTATTTTAATAGAAATATTAAAATATACATTAATGTATTATATATTATATTATCTCATGTATTTATTAAGCTATTGTAAAATACTAAATAATATATACTATAGGTACTACAATATTATATAGAGGGTGTCTGGTGGTTTCAGGTTTGTTAATCCTAAAACATCAAAAGTAATTTAAAAAAATACTTGCTTTTTATCTTTTGTAAGGTTTTTTTTATCTGCTGTTTTTATCAAAAGGATTAATGTTTTGTGGTTATTACTTATTGGTATTTACTAGTGTTATCAGTTTATCACCTTCCTAATTACCTATTACTTTTAAATTTTTGACATAGCTTATGATACAGTAAGTACTCATATTATACTATAGAATCAAGTGATAATATTTAAAAAATTTTGCAAATACTGTTATGCAAAATTTATGAGAGAATATAAAAGGTTTCAGTCTGTTATATACGACATGACAACACTATGCATTTAAATGTTTTTAGCATCAAAATTACGGTAAGCGTAGAATATAAAATTTATTACTAGGTGTATAATATTATAGTTGTCAGTATACATTGATAATAATTTTAAATTAAAAAAGAAAATTATTAATTAATATTATGGAGTATTACTGTATTACATTAGATATCATATAGCAATATAATATTAATTATTATAGTATATTTGTGTTGACTATAGGTTTATTATATAATTTATAATATTAAACATAATTATTTAAGTAATTTTATAATTATAAACCACGATTAAGCCCAAGAGTATATAAAAGGGATAAATTATATGGGAGACAGATCCCCAAGAAATTTTTAAAAAATATTTCATAAATGTTAAATGTTTAATGCTAAATATAATATGAAATAATGTTAAAGCAGCTATCACATTATTGAAATATATGATATTCGATAATGGATTTGGATCTTGAGTCTCACACCTAAAATTATTTTTTATACACTAAAAACTTTAAATTAAAATTGTATTTATTAATAATTGCTTTTTTATAATAAAGTTAACTTTATTCATTGAAAAATTTTACAAAAAAACTTCGTCAACCAGAGAACGTCTTTATACAAAAACTACAAAATTTTATTTGATAACGGTTTTCCGACCACACTATGTCAAGTTCTGATTTCTCTAAGATAAGAGACTTTTATTTTTTGTGTTTTTAAACTTTATTTATTTATTATATACTATATTATGCACTGGCAATAATGTTATTATTCATTGTTGAGAATAGTTATGTAATAATGAAATCGACTGTTTTATTTAGGAATATTATTTCACAGTTATTTTTTAATATTCAAATAATTAATGTAGGAAATGATACAAAGGTTTTTAAAAATATGAATTATAATTAGCCATAATTATCAATTATTCTTTCGACAATTTGTGAGGTAATAAAGATAAATTGCGATTTTTTTTTTATGCAGTATTAAAGTGTACAACCAACTTAATTATCATTCAAATATATTTTCACATGGCACACTATAGTGATATTTTGAATGACATATTTAATTAATACTAGAACAGATATTAGTCTTTCATTTTATTTTTAAAATTCGTATTATCCAAAATTCCATTTTCACTCGTTGTTTTCAAAAAAGTCATCCAGGACAATGGCCCCTTTATGAAGTAAAGTTGAACAATTGAAATTTTAAAATAAAACATTTCAGAAAGTTTGTTAACGAATGTGTATTTTGAAATATTTAATGATGTAAAAAAATAAATTTTATAGATAAGAAAATAAGTAAAATAAAAAAATTTTTTTTAAAAGCAACAAAAGATAAAAAATCAATAAAAGAGAGTGCTTATTTAGAGAATTAAGTCTTAATGAGCAAGTTGTAAAGTATTCAAATAAAACCGATTCAAAGAACCGAATTAATATTAAATAGATATTATAATCATACCAAAGGCACAAATATGCTCAGCATTTGGAGGGAGGACTAAGTTAATTTTATGACATTTGTAAAATGTCTTTCTTACGGTATAAATCAGTATCATGCATTTGTGTTTTAATACTTTTTCAAGATTTTGTTGAACTGCTAAGCTGACACGGGTGGTTAACCCATATAGTAACTCAAATGACAACGGTATTTAACGCCGAAATGTTTGTTTAAATTCTTTATTATAGCGTTTGAACACGCGATTTTATTCGGTACCTTAGTACCTGACACCCGAAAACCGTACAAATAATTCGGCTGCAAAGCCCTACACATTTTTTTTTTTTGTTATCACAGTATTTCATTGAGCAAACGCAACTCTGCAGAAAAATCATTTTCGGGCCACTGATACAACACTGTTATTATAGTCGCTGCCCGCCCATGAGTACCGACGAGTCAATATTATAATATCATCGTGATCATTCACGGAACCCAGCATAATATTTTCTCGTCACCGATGAACAATTAAACGTGTTCAATAAATCCGCGATCTACGCTAATCGTATAATTTTGGCACGACGACGAATCAAAGCCGATTCCGTCACCAGAGCTTCGTCGCGTCGGTCGTAATGAAATAAAATAATTTTTCGATATTAATGACCTTGGATCATCATTACCGCGACAACGATTTCGACCGCACTTCTCGTACCGGGCGAGAGGCGTAGTGTATTGCAATAAACCATTAATCGCGAAATACAATGACTTTTAGCCAATGGTTATATATCGGCAGCGACTCGTGTGCTGCAGGCAATCATATCGGTTACCTGTGTAATGTACATATCTGTGGCGGCATCGGCGCGACACGTTTGACGCACGTGCGTCGATCTCAGATCGAACGTGTGTAAACAGTGATCGATATATTCTTTCGAACAGTATATACAAATCATTTATATCCTACAATAACAATATTACACGCGCACATAATATATTATACGACGTGGCAGCGGCGCTATTTTATTGACACGGTTTTGTTTGCCTCTGATAACGCGGTCGTGTCAGATAAGAGCAAACGGTTATAATATATTATTATTATTAAGGTTTTTTTTTTTTTTTTTTTTTTTATGAACGTGAAAAATCGTCCGATCGCGCACGAAATCGTCGTACAGGCGCGTACAAATAACGCGCACGGCCGAGTCAGTATCCGTAACGCAAACACACACATCAGAGTAATAATTATTGGTTTTTTTTTTTTCTTCTGTCGTTTCACTATTGTACAATAAAATATTATGATATCACGTGCGTACGCGTCGAACACACCGTACCAGATATCTCTAGTTATCGTTTCTCTATTTATCCAATGTAATATTTATATAGGTACATATCTATTTATAATATATATATATATATATATATTTATATATATCATAACATAACGATATGTTACTAGTGTGTGCTGTGTACAAGTCGATCGATAAAAAGACGTGCAGATTTGTCAACAAGGCGAGGCCGCGCTCTTCTCTACAATAATAATAATGATATATAATATTATATATATATTATTATATTACGCACTACGGCGGCGGTCATTGCATCATGTAATAGAATTATTGTTTCGTCTGCCGCCAGACGCCATAATATGTCATATTGTTGTTATAGTACAGCGCTGCGGATGGAGACACTGCACAGTACTGTGGCGTCTGATCGTCGACGTTTAATAGATAAAATACGAGTGTATGATTATTTTGCACCTCAGATGTGATTTCTATGCATCTATTTACGTTTTGGACGACACTCGACTCGGTTAGGGTTTCCCGCGGGCGCTAGGTCCGCATAACCGTTACGAGCGATCCAATTTTTTTTTCCGAGAGCTCAACCCCTGCTCACTAGATTCACACATTCAGATTTACGAGTGGACGACATACTGACCGTAGAATCGAATATTTCTGAACAAAAACTATAACGCAGTGATTGGTGATTAGTCGAAATAAATAACTACATATCATATCATATATATATATATCGTAACAATTATTTATTTATCTATATAATGATCAAGTAAATTTGTCATACATATTTTTTCGTATTTCGAATAACATTATTCAACAAACATAATTTGTTTGTCGATTTTACTTATATACAACTTACAAATTACAAAAATTACAATATGCAACCCGTCGGTGCGTATATATAACGTTCTAACAATAAAAATATATAAACAAATAAAATACACGTAATGACTAGTCTTTTGTTTCTTTAAAACTCTTATTTAAGTATTATAATAATAATAATAATAAACAAATAAATAAATAATAATATTTAATAATAATAAAATTAGCCTAATTCTTTTTTAAATCTTTTTTACAAATGGACACTTTATAAATGTATCAGTTACTTCCGAATAATATTATTAATATACATGCGTACGCTATACTCTACTGTATTTCCGATCGATAAAATATCGTTTATAATAATATAATATAATTACTAATAAATACATAATTATTTTATCAAAATGAGGGAGGGGGACACAGTCGTAGCGCGTGATCGCTTATTTTCGAATGAAACCACGCTGATGAAAGACCGAAAAAATCTATTTAAACACATTAATGCCACATATTATTACAACCATTATTATTATCATTATTATCATTATTATTAAAGTTGAGGTAAATAATATGTACATAATATAATATGTCGTATATATTATATAAGACGATTTATCGAGTAAATCACAATTTTTTGTTGTATTCTCATTCGATATCGCGAAATCCTATGATTTTCCTAATTAAACGCCCAGCATATTTATATAATATTTCTAAACAAATCGAAAATTCACCTCTATTAAGGTGCACCACTTGTATAATAGTAAATTTTTATGTTTTCGTGAAATCGATTTCGACTACGTATAATAACAACGTGAACGGCAATAATACCATGTATTATAGACATAGAACACCTTATCGACGTTAGGTATCATCGTCGATAACACCCGTCACTCGGCCAACCTCGAATTCACGTAACCGAACGTTTTACATACAATAATATTAAAATATGATATATTAACGGTCGGAAGGTATTAAACATTTTTAAAATTTTTTTTTTTTGACAAGTAGCCGGCAAGTTTATATATATCGCGCGCCGTACACATGATTATACTCGTATATTTATACGTTACATATTATTATTATTACATAGGAAGACAATACTGGCCGTCGCGATGACCATACACTATAATATTATACCGCGGTTGTGGTTGTATAACTACCACCACGTTCTGGGCGTTTGGCCGTGCATCAGCGGATGCGAGTACGACGGTAGCACCATCTGTTCGGCCTTGCCGCCGGCACCGGGCTGCTGGTTGGTGCACGGCTTGCCGTCTCGGACCAGCACGGGCACGGCGACCCGCCTCGGCGAAGACAGAGCGTTGGCCGCGGCCGCCGCGTGATGGTCCACGTGCATGCCCTTCTCCTGTTGCGCCCGTTTCGTCTTGTACCTGTGGTTCTGGAACCAGATTTTCACCTGAAACAATACAAAAAATATGGAAACGTCAGTCCGGTTGTTATATTATATGTGACGAGCACAGAAGACGATCACTAATAAATTATTATTGATTATTGCGTATAGCGCGAGGTGAATTGGAAACATTTTGAGGGGTAGACGTCATACCTAGTAAAGTGACTATAAAATTTGTGGACAAACTCTGCGGCGACTCGATTCTATACAAGAGTTGCGTGTTCAGGGACAAATCATAGACCTATAGTGTATAGGTACAGGGCCTAAAGCGGTATAAACTTAGAGGTGTTTAGTTTTGGCTTGAAAATTTACCAAGATATCAAAAGCAATACTCGCATTTTTATACGTGGTAAAAATATGTTATGTACTTATGTGTAAGTTTGATGAAGAATAAGGTGAAAAAGATGACAAACTGGACCTGTAGGTAAAGAATTTTATTACGTCACTGATTATATCGATTTTGAGTAAACGGCCGAATTGCGCGATTTTTGGCGATGACGTAGGTAAATTATTTTTTTTCTTTTGGCGTATTATAAAAAAAAATATCAGAACATGAAATTTATAGACGTTACTGTTGGACAGAGTTATCGAACATTGAATATGAATACAAAAATTTTAAAGCGATAAGTGTATCGTGTGTGCCCGCTTATGTACCAGTTTGATACTACTCTTTTGACTTTTGCCGTCTGACACCTGAAACCGTAACGAAGTCTGAAAATTATAAAATATGCTACTTGTGATTTATGCGACTAGTTTATGATATTTTATAATATTTTGATTAGAAAATAAAACTATATATATTACATATAATACTAGGACATCTAAACGATTTTGTCAATCATTCATTTTTAAACTATAAGGGCACCAAGTGCTTATCCCTCTTACCAAATTCATATAATTATTATGCTTTTGTGAGTTAAGATCGCACACCTATAAACATTTACACTAATCTCGGATGGCTTAAAAAACCACCATTGTCCATACTAACTCTAAGAGTGAATTACTATAACAAAGCAAGGACTTTAATGCACTAATATTAACACCCGCAGGGTTACAGGCTGTATAGCAGTTTAACAACAATTTTATTACTCAATATTTTTATGATAAAAGATATAAAACAATAAATTAAATACATACGATTTTAATTTATATACAGAATGACAATTAAAGTCAAAATCAATAAGTCTATTACATGACTTAGGCAAGTGGCAAATATTGGACTATTATAATTACTATTTCTAGTATGATCGTCGTACCGAGGAACATATAAAGACTTAATATATTTCTAGAATTAAATATGTGGTCTGTTAAATGGGAATAAATTCATGACAAAAACGGGTTACTTATACTAATTTTTTAAATTTATCAATCACTTTATTGTGGTTGACGGTGTCAAATGCTTTTTTTAAGTCTATATACACTGCATCAACTTGTTTACCATATAACACTACTTGAACTAAGAATGAATAATATTCTAATAGTTTGATATTAATTGATTTTTCGACTCGAAATCTATATCACTCGTTCATTAATATACTATTGGAGAAATAGTATAGTAACCCTTTCCGTACACTGTGTACGTGTATGATACATTTAATAAGGAAAATGAAAAGCAAACTGACCTGCGTAGGAGTTAGCCGGATGATTGAGGCCAAGTGTTCGCGTTCGGGTGCCGACAAGTACCGCTGTTGCCGGAACCTGCGCTCTAGCTCGTACGTTTGGGCCTTGCTGAACAGGACGCGACGTTTGCGCTTTTTGTGTACCGCCCCGGTCCCACCACCACTGCCGCCGCTAACGTCGGATGGGTGACCGCCGGCGCCGGATGAACCGGACCGGTCCTGTTCGCCGCCCGCGGTGCCCGACTCATCGTCGAACTCGTCATCCATTTCATCGCCATCCGCCTCGGACGGTTCGTCTTTGGCGCCGGCGCCGGTCACAGAACCGGGCCCACCACCAGCGCTGATGTTCGCGTTCGCGTTCGAAGTGTCGGCTGCCAGTCCGCTGGGCGTGCTCGATGTGTCCGTCAAGTCTGTTACCCCCGGAGACGTGCTGTCTGGGCTGGCTTGCTGGGCTCCGTGATGGTTCATCCCGAACCCTGAAACACAACCAGAGCGATCCTTATCGTTAATATCAGCTGTGCATACGTTGAAGTAAACCCAAATATACGATTTATTTAAATCATAATTATTTTTTATTTATTTTTTACGGGCGAGGGAGCGGAATCAGAGTATAAAAATAGTCTACAGAAAAATATTCAATTTCTCAGAAGAGCATAGTATTTAAGGATTGTTCACAGTTTTTTTTTTTTTAATACACAGTAAAAACCACAGAATACTGTAGTTTAGTGTAAAAACTTTCTATAGAAATTAACAGTTATTTTACCAGGTTATATGTGGGTATTTTTATAATATAAGTAGATAGAACCTTTTTACTCCTTAACTTTTTACGTTTTTGATCAGTCAGAAAAATAATATAATAGAAAATATATTTATTATTAATGCCACTCATTAATTACAATGCAACAACGGAGAAATGTTTAAATATTCAAATTAGTAAAATAAAAATGTTTTATTGTAAAAATAAAAAGTGATGAAAGAATAAATAATGTTGCATTTTTATATATTTTATTAAAAATAAAAACCATAATAACATAGCTTGCACGTATTTGATAAGATATTATCTATATAGTATTCGAAAAAAATTAATTCGAAAACGCAAATACGCAATGAATAATTAATTCTTCAGAAAACCGGGATTCCGTTTTTCAAAATATACATTAAGGGTTCCCGTTTTTTTTCGATTTTGTTTCGGAAAAACTTTGATTAGTATAATATTATATAATAATACGAATCTATTAAAAATTAAAATTGTAACTGTTAAGAGATCCTTAATATTTTAAATTTGTTTTTCACTTAACTGTTTATTATACTATTCTGTAGTGTGTAGGGCTTTTGCACATGAAAAAAAAAAAAATGTTGTTATACGTTATTTACAATTAAAACGTCATACAAATGTTGATATTATCGTTATTCAGAAATAAAACGTTATTCAACTTTTGTGTTTATCGTTATTCAGAATTAAAATCTTTAATACATTTTAGAAATTATAATTATTAAATAACTATATATAACGTTTTGTTTGATCATTTATTTTGTTTTGCGTTGTTTAATTATTTATGTTTATCGTTTTCCGTTTTATTTACGTTTACAAATTTTAATCGTTTTTTGTCAAATATAACGTTATTATAACGTTTGCAAGCCTTGGAGTGTGTATAGGTACCTACTAGTTTAAGACAATTCAAAGTGTTTCTTCTATTAGAATTCGAGTTAAATTTTTTTGATAATTTTTGTATAACTAATTCGGTGGATTCTACGTTTAGTATATAATCGACGTGCTTATATATTATTATTAGTACGATTTCGATTGTAAATTATTAAGTTTATTCATCGGTTTAACACCGTTAATGAGTATATAATATATAAGACTATGTAAATGTATGGTAACGAGAACCACACAATATGCATATACATAATGTATATGCAGAAGACACTGCATCAGATTACGGTCATCGGTTTTCACTTAACCACGGTATCGGTTACGCGCTGAATCCCCTTTGGAGCCACCCCTGCAACAACGTGTGCCCTGTCATTCGTACAACAAAAAAGTCGTTAAACACTAATCGTTTACACGCCAATCGTATTGTCACCGTGATTCCTGTCGCAGCGCATCTGCCTCGCACGACCGACCGGTCTCTATATCACTCCGATAGCACAGAGGTACACGCGTATTATTTTATTATTATTATACGATTCCGTGTCGATCGTTTTTCTTAAGTTCCTCATCATCTCTTTCTCTGTATATTATTATATTGTAATATTATATCTCATGTTATACAGACGGCGTACGTGTGGTAGGGCGAAACAATTAATGTTCCAGTATTATATAATAATATATTATATGACGTGACGCGGTATGCACCTACCTATAATAGTATATGAATAGCAGACGGGCCGCTAGCAACCATTTTGTCCGCTCTTTTGTTGTACAATGTATGTACATATTATATAGGTACATACACGAGACCGTCGTTAGATTATCCGTGTACCTATTGATGTTGTTTAGTTAAAAAAAAAAACCCCAAATCGTCCCCCATATTATAAAAACGCGTATTGCGTGTACTTCCCTACGCGGATATTTTATATACATCATATTATAACACATATATATTTTTTCTTTTTGTGCGTCTAAGCCCCCGTGTAATTCGCACAATGGTCACCTTTGAACGGCCGTCGTGTCACGCCCTTTTGTCGCCAAACTCCACCCAGTTTGTACACACCGCATCACGTATAATATACGAGCCGATCGTCTTCCTTTCTCCCTCTGCCTCATCCTCGCCTTCTCTCACAAACTCTCTCACTCTCTTTCTCGCGCGCACGCGTGTAAAATATATTGTACATATTATTATAATATTATACACACCTATCCCACACCGATACGCGCATTGTAATAGCATAATGTTAGGTATGATGTATGATATTGTGTCGCAGATGTTCGACACGAGTTTTTAAAACGTCATACGAAACGTATTTCGGCGTGGTGGGCGCGCGCTCGAGCTCGCGACAGACTCACGGGCTGCCGGACAATCCTTATACAGATCGCTACAACGTATAATATAATGTACATAATTATACGGCTGCGAGTTAACCGCATTGTGCTTGGCGTAATATAATAATATATTGTACATTAACAACAACAACAATAATAATAATATATGTTATTTGTCAAACACGCACAAAAGCCAACCACCACATTATAGTTTTCTTCAAATTGTAGCTTGTCTGGGACGTTCGATGTATCTGCCACCTATAGATATCTACTGCAGCGTACAATATCCGTTCTGACGTTTTATTACTATAATGGAATGTCACGCCGTACGTGCATAGGTATTATATTTTTGGCACATCTCACCGGAGACGCAACGCCGACGATTATCATCATAATGTTATTATGTATTATTATTATTAATACTATATTATCGTGCGCTGTGAAACGCCCGTTTGTTAGAAGACACCGCGCGCGCCACAGCATTGGAATATATTCGGCCGATTCGCGATGATACCGCGATATCACCGAAGCAGCTGTTAGGAGACCCCCATTTTGGACAGCAACAACAAATATTGGAGTATCCAAAAAAAGGCAAAGGTTCTCGAAATATCCGAATCGGTGCTACCGTTCCGTTTTTATACAAACACCTCGGCGGGTATACACGGCATGACGGTTCCAACCAATGGCGTAATCTGCGCAAAAAAGCGAGGGGGAAGTTTCCCCCTGAAATTTTATGAGAGAAAAATACATTGTTTGGGCCTCCCTTCGTTTTAAGCTCTAATTCATAATATTTTAATGTTACGACATATTTATATATTTCAAACATAACTACGCTTGAGCTTAGTATTATTTTTCTACGCGCGTTTTATGTAATCACCAAGAGTTGTCATTAAAATTTATGTACCTATATCATAAAAGGTACACTTAAAGTTTTGGTGATTATAATGTAAATAGTACCTACTAACTTTATAATATATTATCGCTATTTACAATTAAAAAAAAAATTAAAGACTGCTGTATATATAGTTTACGTTTTGTATAGATTTTTATTGGAAAACTATTTAAGAAATATAAGGGAGTTACTTCTTCCTCTACTATAGTTTTCGACACAATATTTATTTACTATATTTTCCCCTTCTCCAAAAGAAATTAAACAAAAATACTCCATTTGTTCTAGCCGTTAAAATATCGTCGGTAACTATTGCCTTTTTACGTTATACTTAATACGAGTATATCAAAAACAGTGCTCACAACTTTAAAGTATAAATACTTGTATACTCATATGAAAACGTGTTCAAAACTTTTTATAAATAAAAAACTATAAGTAGAGATTCTAGTGGTTTTTTTGTGAATTATTATTTATTAATTTTTGATATATATATATATATATGTATTTATAAATATGTATGTTGTATATATGCATATTTTTAATAAACATTCATAATATAACTAGAAAGTGGAAACGCTAAGCAATTAAATAAGTTTATAATAACTACAACAGTAATTGTATTATTGAAAATGACATATCAACATTCTCACTGTAGACGCGTTAAATTTTAATAATATTTTATTCACGTGAAAATCAGTATGGCTGATCGACGTTTGACATTAATCCGGGAATTGATTCGCAAAACATAAAACATTACAAAACGAGACGATTTATCGACACTTGAATGTGCAGGTCATTTTGTTTTATATTAGAACCGATCTGCGTGTTAATAATTGCATGAAAATCGTGTAATACGTCACTCGTGATTGCTTTTTCTGGACGCTTTATAGTTTATAACGCATACTACTGGTGTGCGTGATATTTTATTCTATTTAAATTCTTAGGGGAAAGGAGAAGGAATTTCATCATAATAACGGCAGCCTTTTAGAGTTTTGCCACGTAAAGAGCGAGCGAGTCGCGCTCGATAATAACGGTCGAAAACTAAAGAGCACTACAACCCACATGTATACAAAACTTTCTATATACATATAAATAGATATAATATATATGTGTGTGTACTTCTATATACACACTCACACACATGCGCGTGTATATAAATACACACACATACACAGGTGTATACGTATATAATATACTTGGGTTTTTAATAAAAACCATTGTCGACTGCGGCGCGCTAAATGGCAGAGAAAATCCGCTGTAAATCTGTTGCTCGCACCGGGAGGGAGCGTGTTTTAATCCACTTAGAGGCGAACAGGAGCTTTGGGTTCACGAGTCTCGCGTATATTATATATATATTATAAACATGTATATTGTATACGTCCGGGGTGAGTACGATATACGACAACGACGGGGGAGCCTTATGCATTTAATTTGTATACACCTCCCCGCGTGCCACACTCTGTCACCGACAAAGCCGCTGCCGCCCTATTCGCGAGCTCTCATCGGGGCCCTGAGTTGGTATAACGGGTTTAAATTTTAACGTCCGTCCGACCGCCATTATTAGAACGCGACGTCATAACTACGTATATGATACCTCTACAGCACTCGGCCGGCGTATATCATTTAATAATAATAATAATAATAATTGTATGTAGACTGTAGACACATAATATATTATTATATATGTGTATGTTGACGACTGTCGAGTGTTCTGTCGTCGGCACTCATCAGTTTCTACTGAGGTTAGCGGAGTATGTGATAATTGATATACCTATATATACGAGTATATCATAGAAAATGGCGTCAATATAAAAATTCAGCACTGGAGTAAAAATCCAAAAATACTTATTTTTTACAAAAAATAATAAATAAATTAGTATTCTGGAAGGGCCTGATTTATTTTATATTCAACTGACCCCTAACCCAAAAAAAAAATTTCTTACGCATTGCCCAAGTATTCCCCTTTTTACGCCACTGCAAATCATGTAAATATAAATGTACATATTAAATATTTTATATGGTATATATCGTGATGATATAGCTAGCTATAATAAATTACACTCCCCCCCATCCATTGGGTATACATAAAATATATTGCGTGCGTAGCAAACACGAAGAAAAAAAATTAAAATCAATTCTAATCCTACTTGACTGTAGCGTCAAACCATTACGTCACGGATGCGCACTATAGAAACGCATCGTATCGTTGTGTATAAATCGCTCGAAATCCATAAATCGTAAAAAAATAATACAATCAGCATTCAGAATTCTGGTCGTTGTACTTTATTAAGTATTAATTAAGTATTAAACCTAATCCACAATTTCATAAATAATTTATGAATACTAAATTATTACGGTCATGTGTGAAAATTTAATGTCGTTCTTACCTCGGAGTTCGGTGAGCGACGTAGGCCAGTGGTGTAATAGCTCGGTGGATGATTGCAAAACGCTAGGGAACTGGAAGCCCGTGCTTACGTTGTGCACGTCGGGAGCTGTTGGAAAAAAAAACAACGATAAAACAAATTTCTTTAGTCGTGAATCTGCACAAAACACGTTTAATTCGAGATATTATATTAACCGATGTACGATCGATGATAATAATATTATATATATTAAATACTATATCGTATTTATCGTGTTTTAAATAATTACCGTTAATATGGGAACTCAGTGTAGTGTTCGTGTTATCGGTGGAGTTGACTTTTCCGTCATTCAAGTCCAATATGTCACATATATGGAAACCGGATGGTCGCGTTTGACTGCTCGGCATTTTTATACTGTCCAAAAGTCTGTAACACATAGAAAATAAAAATAAAAATCCGTTAAATAAACTTCGTCATGGCAGTAATTTATCATAGTTATAATAAAATATCACTATTCCTCAGATGATGGCTTTATTATAGCTTCTGTATGTATTCTTTTCAGGTGTGTGCCTATTAGAGTTGGTGGATTTTCATCCGCAAAAAATTTTACTTGATTCGGTTTTGCCATTCGATTGATTTTATTTCATTTAATTTTTACCCCTACAGTTGGTAAACACCAAGCGGCCAAAGAGGCGTATGTCGTTTTCCCGAGATAGCTAAGTAATTCTAAAAAACATAGGGTACCTAAATGTTCACTAAAAATTTCCCGCTTATACATAGTGTACCTGAACTTTTACGTTTTTCTTCTGTAAAGAATCCCGGCCTAAAACTCGTATTGCACATCTGGTCCGAGAAATCGCGATGAGGCGCGCAGTAATAGCGATATAGCATACATGGTAATATTTTCGCATAACGTGTAACGTGTGGTATACCATACGCATCGAATTTAACGCCGTTTGTTCGTCCGATACGAAAGCTGCAATATATTCACTATAAATACGACATGAGCACCGCACGTTTCACTCAACATATAGGTTATGCTCGTAGATATTGCCTTTAGGTATATAAGTGGTGCCTACGTATACTCCTCACACTCTCCTTCGGCCCACGCGATGCTCAAAAACAATATAATATTAATCACGGTGGTGGTGAGTTTCATACAATCGAACCGCAAGTGATACATCAAAGAGCATATTATAATAAATATACGTGTTTGGGCGTACGTGCGTGCGTAAGTACCCTTCTGTTCCGATGACACCGGGTAATTTCGGTCGCCGTCAAATCCTCGGGAATTCCAATCGAGCACGTTCTTCCTGTGCCCCCTACCCTACCTCCTGTCAACGGTGAAGTGGAAGCGACACCTGTTGTGATTATATTATTATAATATTATTTTACGCCGCCCTATACACCCACACACTCGAAACAGCATGTACCTACCAAGTGTTATAATATTATTATGTATATCTGTGCGACGCCGCGAGACAGTGTATGACGCGTATAATATACGGTATCCGTAGCTCTCGCCAAAAGCGTCTCCGAAATATCGTAAAAATAACATGCGAACATTTTCTAAAAAAATTCATCGTCAATGTCGATCGACGGTTTTCCGAACTATTAACCGTAGACAGAGCTTTCACGAGTAGGTTCAACGATGAAATCAATTTTTTCGTTAGAGAATACATAATATTAAATTCTATAACGATGTTGATTATCGTGTTCTCAAGCACGAATATTTTATGTAAAATTAGCAACTGTACACCATGTACACCATTTTGTCTCACTTTTGAGAAGATAATTTATATGTAGGTAGGTATACGTATTATTTGTTCCAAAGCGTAAAATCCACTAAAGAAAGTACCTACCTAATGTAAAATATTTCTCCTACAAGTGATAGTTTGTCAATTGTCAAATTTAAGAAACGATAAATACATATTGGTATTGTATTATAATATAACGACGCGCCGAAATCGGATTTTGCTGCAAAATATAATGCAGGATCGAATAAGGGCTTGATCCTTATTGGTACTTGGCTTCCGTTTAAATAACAGACACGACATGGTCGGAGACGCTAAAGACATCATCCACTCTGAGTGCGTAAAACCGGGCTGCACTAAAATTAACATACACCGCTACGGCGGCGTCGTATTTACGACCGTACCTATAATATAATACCTGGAGAGCGGCGATAATGTTGCCGAAATTTATTCAAAGTCACGTACCGGACCCGTTCGCGCGCGCGTTTGCCCCACGAATGTAATAATAATATAATATGTATAATATCGCCTTAGCGCGCGGATCGACGGCACCAATAAAACGGTATAACATAAGTATAGCCGGCATATATTATTATTATTATTTTACAAACGGACCGCCGCATTGCCGTCGACACGTCGTCATATAACGACTATATACATATATATATATGTATTATTATTACTAAACCGACTGCAACTACCGATCGAGTCCGACCAATATATATAATGTACATAATGTTATATATTATATTATTATAATAAATGTATCACATATATTACTATTATGTTCGTATGCTCGAGTGTGAGACGCACTAAAAGCTATTATACCTTACGAGACTGCAGCCGTGCCCCGATCCTCCTGTTTCGTCAATTTGAATTACTGAGCCATTGCTTACTATAAGTACGCGAGCACATTATAGTAACGAATGTGAAATCCTCGCGCCGTTACCGGTTTTTTTTTTTTTTTTTATTTAGTTTTTTGGATCCAAGTTTGTTTTTAATACGAACGGATTTTTAACATTTTTCCTTTTCTAGCTATAAATTTTAAGTCGACAAAAATTGTGCGTAATATTATATTTTTTATTAGGTACCCATTATATTTCGTTATTTCATGTATCTATAAATTATGTACTTGATACGCAAGTCGTCACTCGCTGTTTTAAACATGCTTTTCTTTGCCAATAATCCACGACAGATGACATTATAATACGCATTATATCTGATCGATGGGCGGTACGGCATTTATATTACTGCCTATACTCGTACGATGGAGGTACTTACCATGCATTGATTTAGTAGTACTAATTCCACCGAAATATTTGTACTTAATTATGAACTGTTATAATGACTAAAATTATTCTACCTAATAAAATATTTTATTAACGATAAGTTGTACTCCAAAATCATGCCATATACATCTTATACCAGTGTACTTAACTTAACCCTAAGGTCCTCTGTTAATAATATTCGTCGTCGAATACATCTAATTGATTCATCGACAAAATAAATTTCACATAATTCCTATAAAACATGGATAGGTTTGGATATGGTTTAAAAATAATAGGTACAGTGACATGTGTTTTGATTTTTGGTTAAGATTGCGGATACAACGCACTAGTATACATGTATAAAAATGAAATAATGATTTGAGTTAACGAAAGATACTAGTATATACTCGTATATTAGACTAGTTTAATGATTGAAATGTGCAAACATTAATTTATTGTTAATCTCTTAGTTATATTCATACCTATTTTTTATTTTGGATAAATTAATAATTTATTATTACATATAAGTATTTATTTTTATATTATATTTTTTATTTTATAAGAAATGATTAAAACTAAATTGATATTTATCACAAAAAGAAAAAAATAAAAGCCGTGTATAATAATATTTTTATAATGTATTTGATAATAATTTTCTTTCGTATTGTGTAGTCAAATTGTTAAAAATTAATTTTAAATCAAGTTTGTCACCTGTTTCATTCTTTATTTATAATATTAGGCTATAATTTCAATAATTTGTAGGAACCTTTTTTTAAGTTCTGTAAAGTGTACTTATTATTAATTACAATAATACAATCAATGACAGACCAAATGTAAATTAAATATTTTAGGGAGTGTGAGCCATAGAATGAACTTTTCCAAGTATAGATTTTTGGTATTTTAAGTGGTGGTATTAATAGGCATTAACCTGTACAAAACTACTATGCTTCTATACGATCTAAATTGTTAATACTACAGAAAAATTACATGATATCTACATACTCAAATTATAATTGAATTATCAGTATGAGACTGCAGTAATATATCTAACCGCATCAATACAATTTTATAATCATAGAATGTACAAGTTTAAACTTGACTAAATACCTACTTTATAGCACACTAATACAATATATATATTATATATTGCGTAATTGTTTATCGTTTTAGCTGTAATTTATAGATATTTAATCAACGCGGCTTGTGTTTAGGGAGAGGAAAACAATTTATTTCGAAATCATTTAGCCCACCCTCTTATAAACAAATTAAAAGCAAATAAACAGTAGTTATAAACTTTAATTGAATAATATAAAACTGGTTAATATCAGTTTCTCGTAAAATTCCCTGCTCTTCACATTTAATTGATTTGACTTTGTATTGTAATAATATATAAATAATTATTTTCCATAAATAGCGTAAGATTAATAGTCAATCAATATCAATATTTTGATTTTTGAAAGAATTTGAGACAGATTTTTTGTTAATACACAATTATAAAACAAATTGGAATTTTCAATTACTAAATTATTTTTTTTTTTATATATATACTTATAATATCTTACCTATGTTAACTATTTTATACATTCTCGTAATAAGTTCTATGCACCTATAATCTAATAATAATTATTTATAATTTTCAGTACTATAAATTTAATATTATTGATATGATATTAATTACGATAGATAATATTATAAAATCTCATATTTAATGCCAAAAAATTATGCTAATATATTTATCAAAATAAATATGAGTTGAAATAAGTGGATAAGTACCTACACGAAATGCGAAATCATCACTGGAGCCAAAATCTAGCATATGTTTATAATTTACACGCACTAGCGTGTTATAACTGCGGAGTGTATTTTATAGAATTTTAGGTAATTATATTCATTGAATAAAAGCGACCTGAGTATGAACATTGAACACCGGTATGCGTTTGTGGTATATGATTATTGCGCAATATCGAATATTAAAATAATGTCGCGGTACCTGCAGTAGGTATACCGTCTGGACGTTTGTGGGCACACACGTCTTTTACGACTAAAATGTATAATATTATCATACTGACCCCGGGAAAGCGGACCTGAGGGCTGCCGGATTGCACCAGGCGGCCGGGAGCAGCGAGCACCAGGGAGGCATGATGGCCGGGCACCACGCGAGCAGCGACGGCGGTATCCTCGGGTGGTGATGATGGTGATGGTGCATGAGCACTTCTTCCGCGGGTTTCGGACTTTCGCTGTCGGACATGGCGATCGCCGTTGCGTACAGACGTTATGCGCGAGTCGCACTTGCGATTTACGAAAAATATTATAATACCGCGTTTGTCGTCGTTGATCGGGAGACACCGGGGCAAAGTCGGCACGTGCCCGGCAGTCGGTCGACGGTAGACGATTTCGCAAATTATACTACCGTTTTTAATAATTATTATATTATCAAAAAAATAATAATAATAATAAATCTCGGCACCGCGGGTGATTTTTATCACGTACACGAAATCGTTTTTAAGACAATATTGTGATACACACTGCACACACACACACACACTCGCGTAAATCTATCGAGTTTGCGGTTTTTGTACTACACAGTATAGTAACAACTAGCAATAATAATAATAATAATAGCTAGTTATAACGAACGTTTTCACTACGGTCGCGGACGAGAGCTGTCGAGAATCGGAGAGAAATGCGGTCTTCGGATCGGACACTCGAGACGCGATGAGGGTCGTCGGTGCAGTGGTCGTCGTCGACGAGCAACCCACTTGAAAGGAGAGTCGACTGGCGGCTGTTTCTGGTGCTGCCGTTGCCACAGCCGCGACCCCGTCGGCGGAGCGGTGTTGGCCGGGAGGGCGCGAAAAACTCGGCGAATGGGGAGTGGCCCAGGGCGGCGATTGGACGGCAGGCGTGGTCGCGGTGGAAGGGGGTAGAATGCGACGGCGGCGGCGGCGGCGCGCGCCCCTAAAAACCGTTGTCCGTCGACGGCGGCCGGCCGCGTCGGATACATCATCGCATTATTATTATTATTATTATTGTTATTATTATTATTATTATTATCGTCGTCATCTGTTTGCGAGTGTGTGTGAGTGGAGATCGATTCCAGCGGCGGCTCGCTGCAGTGTTGTAGATTGTATAGTGTCGGGTAGGTAATTATCATGATAATATGTACCTAATATTAAAATATCTGTATTATGAAAAATAACACTGCAGCCGATGTAACATTATTGTGTATGTTATAATATAATATTTTCGGATATCCAATCGGTCTAATGATGATCCGTGAATATTTTTTATTTTAACACTTAATCATTTTTTACACAATCTGTATTAAGTTTAATTTAGCGATTGTTAACGAAAAGATTCATTCATTATTAATCGGGTTTTATTTCTATATAATTTTATTCTTTTTAACGATACGTGTAGGTACAGGTACGCGCGAGTACAGTAAATAATTACGCGACTCACTAATGACAATATTTGTTGTTTGTTTCTAGTTTACAGATTTATTAAATTTACGTATTGACAAATTATATTATATTCGTATGTTTTTATAAGTAGCTGGTTTACTGTTAATAGGTTTTCAATGATTAGGTACCTTCCGTTTTAACTCAACAATAGGATTTAGTTTAATAATATGCTGTAGTTTAATAGAAAATAATTTTCATAGATAAAAAAATAACAATGCAACTTGCATACATTAGATAATTTGACAATATTGATTTATCACTTGATATTTTGTTTTAAAAACTCGTTTAACTGGCGGGCGTAGTTACTAGGTTTCAACTTAGTTATTCAAAAGCTATGTGTTATGACTTTAGTGTATTAGCATTATAAAAAAATATCAATATTGCATGATCGTCAAAGATCTTCTATTTTTATAGTAAAAATCTACTTTTTCGAAGACCAAAAACCGATGTGATTTTATCATGCGTGAAATGGTTTTTAATAATTAATTTATAAACGTGCGGAATCCTTTTAAAAAAAAGCCCTATACTTTAATGAAGTAAAATTTATTGTATTCTACCATTACACTTAATTTCTTACTAAGTCTTTAATATGTGGTTTAATCTATGCTTACTTAAAATATTATACCAGTTAAATCATGTATACAATAGATAATATCAATGTAATACTGTTTGTATACTGGATATAGATAATGTTTATTATGCTTTAAGCTCGTCAAAAATAATATATCGCAACGAATGTAAATAATATTGTTTAAAAACCTATTTAAAGACAAAGAATTATTATATACATTAATCGATTTTATATAGTGCATGATTAATGGATAATAATGCCTATGTACATTTCTTTAATGTCAAATAATATAGTATATTATTTTCTGTACTTTGTATACCATATAAGTTTAATGCGCATAGAAAACATTGTACCTATAATAAATATTAAGGTATTATCCGAAGACTATACGTACGTCAAAAGTTGCACTTAAAGTATTTCGTGGAACAACATTATTAAATTCTTAGATAATTTAGATCTTGTTAAGTAATTTTTATTTAAATATATGCAATCTATGCTAGAATTCCAATGTCCCGCAATAAGCAAATTTGATAAAATAATATACACAAAAACAAAAATATATAATAATAATAATAATAATACTGTTAAGGTTAATTTTTTAAGAGATCATAGCATCAAAATCTTCATTAACGTCAAATCATCTAGTAGTATTATTCGATCCAGAAATTTTAAATATTATATGTTTGTATGAAACTATAATCATTTATGGATATGTATATAAATTTGAATTTATAAAAGTATTTTGGTCTCTGCTGCATTTTATTCAAAATTTCGTCAGTCTACATTTATTAAGTATTTACAATACATTTATACCTATTATAAACAATACTCACAATTAATTATATTTATAATAGTTTATAAAATATTTATCTATTTTAAACTTTTAGAATTTTTATTAGGAAAATAATTAACTTTACGTGACTATCAAATTAAATTATTTATTATTTTTTTGTAACTGCAAATATTATATTATATTAGAACGACTTTTAACTTGTTAGTTGTTAAGTTAGAAAATACACGAAAAAAAATTAATTTAACTTTAACTTTTGACCTCATTAATATCTAGAATAATATGTTTATTATTATTGTAATATACAGTATATTGTATAATGTAGTTAGGCAGCGATATATGTGTGTGTTTTTACAAGTGGTCGTTTTACCACATACAATAGTAATATGAAGAGTAGCTATTAATATTATGTAAAAGAATTAAGAATAAGTATAACCAATAACCATTTCTCTAGAGTCTCTCCAAAATTAAATGGTAGCGACGAGTGTCTAACATTGATTTGTTCCGGTGAATTCCCAACACGATGGACGTCAACAGCCCCTCGAACTCGTTCGCATGTGCTCGCAGACAAGTAAATTGTAAAAAAAAATATGCATACTTATTACACTCATTGTATTGCGTGTGCGTGTCGTGTCGAGAGACCCATAAAAATATAATAATAATAGTAATACTACTAATAATAACAAAAATTTCGTTCGAGGACTTCACGACATCGCCAACAAGCCTTTATTTTTTGAAGTTCAATACATAAAATATAACATTATGATAAACTTGAACATGCTATTTTGTACAGTATAGTTTATTGTTATAATTTTCATCACAATAATTGAAAACGCATATATCGCACGTAATACAATCAAAATTCAACGTCAAATAGAATAATAAATCGAAAACAATCTAATGTAATGTACGATCATTTTTCTGTATAAACTTAGAATTATTTAACCACGTTTTAATTAACATTAGGTCTAAGTAAATACTTATATACATAATATAGTTCACTATTTTTTTTATTTTTTTTTTTTTTATCGTTATATGTTAATCTAGTTAAATAATAGTTCAACACTAAAACGATTTCCGTTACTATATCGAACACCAATAATATATATAATTATATAATATATTATATTATATTATAATAATATTATAATATTTATATAATATTATAATATTATTATATTATATTATATTATATTATATTATTATTATATAATTATAAAATTATATAATCAATCATATACCATGCAAAATAAATTCCAGGTATTTATTTTTATTTTTAATATCTTCAAATATTTAAATTAAAACCCGAGAATTATGAGGCACAATATTTTAATGTTATCTGGGAAATATGAAGTACTGCACTGTCAGCTACTATGAGCTATGGCAATGTATTAACAATGTATTAAAATAACTAAACTGATCACTGAAATTATTTGTCAATACAGCGCGTCTTTTTTTTCAGACAAATCTTCCTACCAAACTCAGTTCGGTGATCGAGATTTTTCTATAAGAAGTGAGGCTGCAGTCGTTAACCAAACAAAGCCTCTAATAATCTTCTCTATTTTCTGTTACTTCTTTGCAGCCGATATTTATTTGCTCCACTCCTGGAATATTTGAAAAATTCTTCTTAACGCAACCTTTGTAACGAAGTTTTAGCTTAGCGAGCGAATTTTGTATTTACCACGCGTAATCTACCCATTCTATAGATGTTCCTTTTTTATCTCGCTCGCAATATCTGGTCGTTTGAACAATAATTCGACAATAGCTCTCGGTTATGCCTTTTTTTTTTTATTCCTGTGTACACCGATCAAAGCATGAGCCATAATTTATATTTTGTCGTTATAGGTACATGACTCTCAAAGATTTTTTATCTTTCTTCTTTGGTTTTATCCGATGACAACAGTGTTGTGATCCATTCATCACTAAATTGGTCATAAAATATTGTCAAGTACAACTGTTTTTCAGCGTGTTCCTATATAGAGGACTCTGTCGAGGTCAATTTAGCTTACTCAATGCATAAAACACAATTTGTTCCCTATAAATATTCGACGTTGAATCTCTATACTATAGTAGTCAACCATATTTTATTTTTTGTCCACGTATACGGGATATGAAAAACTCGCGGTGATTAAATCTATTCAGGTAATACAATTATAGTACGAGCAATAACGATATTGCTATAGGTATAAAACGCTGCTAATACCACAATGTCAATATATAGGTATACCGCTGTATACTATAGGTAGGTATATTATGTATCAAACACATAATATTATAATCATACACAGTTTTACCATTCCGTATCTATTCTGTCGGTCAAATATCCATAAAGTTTATTACCCCACATTGTTATGCACGTGTCACGTTTGACTCTGTGTTGTTATCCGCCATCGACGTGAAATAATAACGGCGCGCGCAACCGTTATGCGTGTTTAGTTTTATTCCTATAATACTATATTATATTATTATTCATTATATTATTTATTTATTATTAATATTTTCATTTGCAGTCTGTGCAATACAATATACTTTAAAACTACACACACACGACATACATATTATTCACCCTGCCGAGAAATAGGTACAATTGTGTCGCGTGAGCGCGGGTGTTGTACAATATAACACTTAAATTGAGTGCGAATATAAAACTTTATGTGCTATGTATGTATATAAATATAGTATAATATGGACAAGAATTAATAACACTAAAAATTAACGCAGGAAACACAATAAAACAGAGCAAATACACACGACGCCGGGCGTCGTTGTTAAAATGTTATATTAAAACGGTATGGGTTCAATATAATACATCTATATATTATTGTACAAAGCCTCGATACAATGTAATGTATACATTACCACCGATCGAATATAATAGGGAGCGCTTATATATTATTTTTCTGCTACTGTTAGCAATATCGTGTGTACTGTTAACTGCACAACACA